CCGATACATATAAATAAGGCGAATTTCTTGTGCTGTTTTCTCGTCTTTGACTAAATTGCCACTTATGTACTTGTTCGTCGAGGAAGAATGGACCATAATGAACACATAGTATCAAGTTTGTTGCATGGGGTTGAGTCAGATGCAAAATATGTCCGGTCTGGTGTAGCTAGTCACCGTGGTCGTCACAGTCACCGGAGCACGTTTGTACACTGTCGCTGGACCTCGGCACTGGACAAAATCAAATTTGCCGCCTGAATCGTCTTGTTATTTAGCAGGTTACTAGGCACGTCACAACATTGTTTTATTTCATTGATCGTCTGAGTAAAAAAACACATTCAAAATTAAAATAAAAAGAGAACATATTATGACATTATATACATTAAATTATAGTGATCAATAAAATAGAGAAATAATTAAAAAAAAAACGACAAAACACAGTTACTAAATAAATGACTGCTGCATGGAAATAAATTTATTGTAATGGGTGAACGCGTCGGGTCATGACGGGGACAAGTGCGTGAATGGTGGCGTTTAATTGGATAACAAAAATAATTGAGAGCGACACACATACAGACAAATTCAGAGTGGATTTAGTGTGATTTTCATAATTATGACATCATATTAAAAAATACATTGACAGCCCAAGCCCGGATTCTTATTCCATAAATTATTACGCAGATCAAGCTGCAAGTAAAGGCAACAAAGATGTGAATTCGACATTCAACACCAATCACCGAAAAATTCAGACACTTTTAGCCTGCGAAAATGAAAACAACCTTAGGGCTGCGTAATTTCCTGTTTGTCCGACGCTTCGTTTTCGTGTCATTATCAAAATTACTGCTACCTTTTACATAACACGGATGGTCTCTATAAAGTAATAATCAGGATCGCAAAAAAAATCAAATCATTTGAAACACTTACCCGAGGTCTCTCTCCCTTCTGAAATCCACCTCAGTAATCATGGTCTGGTCCGGAATCTATTTTTTCGAAAACATTTTGTATTGCGCCAGGTTTAAGTTGTCAGCATTTCTCATTAAAACCTAGTTGTTTTGTCATAGACAAAGACAGTTTTTCGAAAAAAAGAATCTGAGGTGAATTGGACACTACATATGACGCTGTAAGGAGAAAGTTCACCAAAACCTTTTCTCGTTATTTTCACAGCTTTCGTCCACCGATTTCGCACCTTCGAATTGATTGGAAACGTGTAAATACTTACACTATGACTAAACGCATTACTGCAACTGCCCACAACACAACGTTTAACCATCATAAATGTTTGTTGTGAAAACAACTTCTAGAAATTTGCTCTCTCAAAAATAAAATAAAATAGACAAAAAAAAAGAAACGCCGATCAAAAAATGTATATCGTTTAAAAGTATGTTGAATGACACAGTGATATAAAAGTACGACCCAGCGGTATGGCTTCCTCTCATATTTTAGCATTTGGTGGCGCACTTTTGGCGAGAGTCGGAAATCCGGAAACAGTCGACCGTTTCAGGATAGGTGGGCGTGGCTACAGCACGGGAAATATCTCAAATTTACTTGGATACGAGTAATCATTTTCAGCAAAAAAATCAATAATTGCCCATTTCAGTGGGGCACTGATCTAAAAATTGAAGCGTGTGGCTGGGCATTGCACAGGCACTTTAACGAGTCCACAAAAAAAAAACTATGCATCCATGTACCATACTCAGTCTATATTTCTGTAATAAGCTGTATAATCACACTCTTCAAAAAAAGTCTCTGTCAATAATTTGACATATGAAGTCACTGTGACTAAAAGTAAAAGTTTGAAACATTAATTTCAATCCAGGGAAACCGGTTTAATGTTGGGCATAGTGAAAAAATGACCACCAGCTGGCCATCTCAAATGAGGTACAAATGATGCTTTACTGTATAGTAGGCATAAGGCACAGGTTTGGGCTTAGTGAGTCACTCGCTCAGTCTTTGTGGTCTCTTCAGGGCGCAGGCCTGGGCATGTGTTTATGGAAATCTAGTGCTGCCCATTCAACAAGGTTCCCCTCTCTTCCACACTGACAAAGTCCAAGGGAATGCAGAGCACTACGTTTGGAGCCGGCTTGGCTGCAGGAGTTGCCAGAAGGGCGACTAGTAGTCGATCCAATTGCCATAGGGTCTCTACTCTGGATTTCTGTAAGGTTTACTCCTTAGTCTTCCCTTCTACCGTAAGTATCCACAAGGCAGTGGAACTCAGTTATACCGCTGAGCACCCGGTCAGGTTCCCCAAAGTCGCATTCGTTAGTGAATGAAACTCGGCCAGTGGAATTGGCCTTCCATTGAGTCTGTGGCACACTCACCCAGGGTAAGGGGTCAACCCTTTTGATGTTCAGCCTAAGGTAGGATTTGAACTTGGGTCTACCGATCATGGGTCTGATGCGACAACCACTATACTACCAGTGACCTGACTTTACTGTATAATGTGTATTAAAATATATAAATACTGAGGAATAGAATTGACATCAGGTTTCTATTCTTAAACAAATTGTTATTCTAGAGTTGTTATTTACCACTCATAATTTCTTTTGTAGATTTTGAATGGGCATCATCGTGGTCCTTAGATGCAGCTGGTTTCCTAGCAACCAGCATCCGTTGCTATGAGTTTTCTGTAGAGTTGCTATGTGATGATAAGGAGAATGCAGACTGTATTATCAACATAACAAGGAGACTGGCAAATTCAAGAAATGAACTTGGTAAATTGTACATGAAACAAGCTGTAGATCTCGCCAATGCTTATCAAAATGGTATGTTCTAGTTGTTCTCTAGCTTCTGCTTCATCATGCTGATGAA